CATATATGGATTTTAGACAGAGAGCAAAGGATTACCAGCCTACAATCCATACTTCCAGAGAAGCTGACATGGTCCCCTGGAGAAGCGGAAGGGACAACAGCTCCTGAACAAATTGGGAGCATGGGGGAAGGGAGAAGGGGAAAGGAGAGATGTAGAAAGAGGAGGGGAAGAGAACATGAGGGATCAGGAGGATTGATTGAGTCAGGGGATGAATAGAGGAGAACAAGAAAACAGATACCTTAATATAAGGAGCTGTTATAGGTTTAAAGAGAAGTCTGGCACCAGGGAAATGTCTAGAGATCCATAAGGATGACCCCAACTAAGAATCTAAGCAATAGTGGAGAGCCTGCCTTAAATGCCCTTCCCCTATAATGAGATTGATGACTACCTAAATGCCATCCTAGAGCCTGCATCCAGTAGCTGATGGAAGCAGAAGCAGAGATCCACAGCTAAGCACTGAGCCGAAGTCCTGAAATCCAGTTGTAGAGAGGGAGGAGTGATGAGCAAAGGGGTCAAGACCATGCTGGGGAAACCCATAGAAACAGCTGACCAGAACAAGTGGGATTTCATGCACCCCAGTCTGACAGCTGGGGAACCAACATAGGACTGAACCAGCCTACCTGAACATGGGTGTCAGTTAGGAGGCCTTGATAGTCTATAGGGCCTCTGGCAGTGGAACCAGTATTTATCCCTAGTGTAGGAATGGAATTCTGGAGCCCATTCCTTATGGAGGGATACTCTCTTAGCCTAGATATATGGGGGAGGCCCTAGGCCCTGCCCCAAATGACTTGATAGACTTTGATGATCCCTCATGGAAGGCATCACCCTCTCTGGGGAGTGGATGGGGGAAGGAATGGGGGTGTTGGTAGGGGGCATGGGAGGATGGGATGGAGAGGGAACAGGGATTGATATGTAAAATAGATTTTTTCTCATTTAAATAAAATTCATAAAAACTGGGATAGAGATCTAAACAGAATTGTCAAAGAAGAAACACAAATGACTGAGGAGCACTTAAAAAATGTTCAACATACTTAGTCATCAGGAAAATACAAATCAAAACTGCTTTGTGATTTCATCTTACACCAGTCAGAATGATCAATAAAATCAATAAAATAAATGAGTTTATGCTAGTGAGGATATACAGTAAGGGAACATTGATCCATTGCTGGTGGGATAACGAGTTAGTACAGCTACTAAGGAGATCACTGTGGTGGTTTGTCAGGAATCTGGGACTAGATTTACTTTAAGATAAGGGTATACCACTCTTGGGTATTGTTGTCGTTTGAATAAGAATGCCCTCCATAGGCTCATTTCTTTGAATGCTTAGTCACCCTGGAGTGGAACTCATTGATTGTATTAAAAGGATTAGGAGGTGTGGTCTTGCTGGAGCAAGGTTATCACTGGGTTTCAAGTGCCCATTCCAGACCCAGGCTCACTTTCTGTACCATGCCTGCTGCCATACTCCCTGCCTTGATGCTAATGGATTAAACCTCTGAAAGTGTAAGCAAGCCCCAAGTTAAATGTATTCTCTTATAAGAGTTGCAATGGTCTTGTTGTCTCTTCATAGCAATAGAACAGAGACTAAGACAGGTATATCTCCAAAGGACTCTGACACTTGCTTAGTCTTGTTCATTGCTGCTCTATTTATAATAGCCAGAAATAGGAAATAGCCTAGATGTCTGTCAACACAAGAATGGATAAAGAAAATGCAGTACAGTTACACAATAGAATAATGTTCACCTGTTAAAAAATGAAACAATGAAATTTGCTGGTATATGGAAGGAACTTAGAAAAAAATAATTCTGGGTGAGGTAACCCTAATACCAAAGGATAAATATGGTGTATATTTGCTTATATGTGGATGTTAGCTGTGAATTCTTCAATAAGCAGGCTATAGCCCATGTAACAACAGAGGTTAGGTATAGAGTGTGGGACTAGGGTTGTGTGTGTGTGTGTGTGTGGGGGGGTGGTGGTGGTGGTGGTAGTGGTGGTGGATCTCCCTAAGAAGGGGAAATAAAATAGATAGCAAGGGAATGTAGGGATTTGAAAATGAGGATCAGAGAGGGAAAGGAAGGGAAGAAGTGAGGAAGGACAACTAAACCTAAAGGCCATTTGAGGGGTCAAATAGAAACCTAATACAGTAAGAGCTTCTTAAAATGTACATATGTGGAATAAATCTAAATAGAATCACCAAGTAACGGCGGAGAGAAAGTCCCAAGTAGACACTCTTGTCACCAAGTGAACCTCTAGTTCCAAGAATGGATTAAATCTTATCAAGTTGTTGACCAAAGGGGCCCCATGAACACTACCTAACAATTGGGGCTATTTCCAGAGCTATTTGGTTGTTCTCCACAAACTGATGGTAACTGAAGGAAATACCTGTGTACCTCATTAGCACAGAGATGTAAAGCTGGTGCCTACTTAGAGTCTTTACCCCTACTGACTAGTGTCCATGGTACTGGACTCTCTATACCAGAGGAGAATGGTAAACATCAACCCAGCTACAAGCCCTAAACTCTATAAGGGATACCTGCCTGCATGATATGCTGGTACAGTAGTGGCTCAAAGTTTGTGGGAGTAACCAATTGTGCTCAGTAGTTTTATGTGAATTTGGTACAAGCTAAAGTCATCAGAGAGAAAGGAACCTCAATTAAGAAAATGCCTTCAGAAGGTAAGACTGTAGGCAAGCCTGTAGGGCACTCTTTTAATTAGTGATTGATAGGGGAAGGCCCAGCCCATTGTGGGTGGTGCCATCTCTGGGCTGGTGGTCCTGGGTTCTATAAGAAAGCTCTTTGACCCAGCCAGTAAACAGTACCTCTCCATGGCCTCTGCATCAGCTCCAGCCTTTAGGTTCCTTCCTTGTTTCAGCTCCTGCCCTGACTTCTTTGATGATGAACAAGTGCAGTGGAAGTACAAGCCAGATAAACCCTTTCCTTTCCAACTTGCTTTGTGGACATGCTGTTTTATCACAGCAATAGAAACCCGAACTAAGGCACCAACTAATATCTGATTAGATTTAAGGTTCACTCCATGAGATAGGTTCATCCCTGACACTGCTGGAGTGGTCAAGAACCTGACTAGAGAGATCCAGAAACTACTTTTCTGCTAAAGGAAGGTAGCAGTAAATTGATCCCTAAAGAAATTCTGTTGTACTCATAGAACACTGTCTTGTTCAGGCATCATTAGAGAAGCTTTCACCTGCAATAGATGGTATCAAATACAGAGCCACAATGAGACAAGGCAGAGTGAGAGATTTTGAAACACTCAGTCCTAAATGTGATGTCTGCATCAAATCCCTCTCCTCAGAGCTCAAGAAACCTGTAGAAGAGGAGGCATAAAGATTGTAAGAGCCAGTGGGGATAAATGATTCCAAGGAAACAAGGTAACAAGACCTTATAAACACAGTGAAACTTATGCACCTATGAATTCACAGAGACTATGACAACAATCCCAGGTCTAAGCCTAATGTGGTTCTAGCACTGACAGGGGAAGTGGACAGAAGCCCTCATCTCTAATCCAGAAGCTATCTGCAATTAATAACTTCTTACAAAGGAAAAATTATTTTTCTCCAATGGAGTCTTACTGGGTATACAAATCATTCTTTAGGATATATTGTATGCTCAACAGTAAATGGCCAACACAAAACCAACTTGATGCCATTTTTGGAGGTTCCTTGTTTCATAATGCTTTGTCTGGACATGTTTTTTGCTTTTCAAATCTTTTATGTATATATTATAGTTTCTGGGGTTGTGTTTTTGCGGGGTTTCTGTGTTTGTGGAAATGTGCATGTCTGCATCTATGTGTATTTCTTGTGCTTTCTCTTAGGTTTCTGTTTGTTTTGCCCTATTCTGGTTTTACCTTATCATTTTTAAATACCTGTTTGTATTTTAATGAGAGAGAGAAAGAAAAGGTGTGAATTGGGTGAATGAGGAATCAGGAGGATCTGGGAGGAGGTAATGGAGAAACATCAATTAGAATAAATTGTATGGAAAAATATTTTCAAGAAAAACTATGAATTTTACCTTCTATTTCTCATTAGATAAATAATTGTCAGAATTGTTACAGATTAGAAAAAAAAGAAAATTGCTGAATGTAACTCAATGCCTGCTTCTGTCTCATTACAACAAGTCCTTTGTAAGGATGCTGCCTACAAAGTAAGCATTCAGGCTAGGGATGTAGTTCATTGTTAGAGCTCTTGTCCAGTGTATGCAGCATCTTTCCTTCCATCTCCAGCAGTGGAGGAAAAATAAACATAAAATTGGCATTAATATGTGTGGAATTGATAACATATGTTAATATTTATAAAGTATCTAACACAATACCTGACTATGAGTTATGAGGCATATATACTTCTAATGTGAGATTAGAGGGAGTTTTCATGCTTGAACATGTGACCTACAATGGTCAGGGTTCATTTACTCTATGACAAGTCATGAACATTTTGGAACCAATATTTTGTTTATAAAGATTGAATGCTAATAAAGTGAGTGAATCTTAATGTTTCTTTCTACTGGGGATTATAGACTCATGGGACTAACTACATTGCTTTCCTTTACCCATTTATTTCTTAGCTTATGTACAAAGATCCCATGTACTACAGGGACATAGGTTTGGATCAAGGCTCTGATTTTAGGACTTTGGTCTGAATAGTGGAATAATTGTGCTTTCTTTTGGTTTCAGATGTTCATACAGAAGCTGTACAGGCAGCTCTTGCTAAACACAAAGAAAGGAAGATGGCAGTGCCCATGCCTTCCAAACGAAGATCCCTGGTTGTACAGACTTCCATGGATGCCTATACACCCCCAGGTGAGCAATACCTTCAATATTTCTGCTTCTTAAATGTGTGATATGTGTGCCTTAGAATTAATTGATAACTAAGCCACATCAGTCTTAAAAACTTTTTAAAAGTTAGAATACAAAATAATGGGTCTCATCACAGCATCTTCACATGTATATTGCTGTTACTCACCCTCCCCAGAGTCCTTCTGATCCCCTCTATCTCTTATTCATCCCTTCATTCCCCCAGTTTGTCACTCTTTCCCTTTTATGTCACATATATCCCATTTCTCTCTTGTTCTCCCCACTTTAGATCTTATCTTTTCCTCCATAGATCCCTTCCTGCTTTCATGACCTACACACACCCTAGATTCTATATATGAATGAGAGCATGCAATAATAAACCTTATTTGCATGGTTTTTTTCCCCCTTAACATAAGGAATTCTCCTCTGTCCATTCTCTTGCAGATGTTATTTTATTCTTTTTTGCAGCTGAATAAAAGTCTATTATGTATATCTAACTACATTTTATTCATTCATTTATTGATGGGCATATAAGTTGATTCTATAACCTGGTTATTGTGACTTCTGCTTCAATAAACAAGGATGCACAAGTACCTGTAGTTTGTTGACATAAAGTCCTTCAAGTATATGCCCAGGAGGTAACAACTTCATGAACCATACTCCAAAAATAGTATACGAGTTTAACTTGGAAGGGAAAATTTAACATCCTTCCATATATAGCTATATTAGTAAGTATTTTAGATCTTCATCAAGACTCAACTATGATTACTTAAAAACTTATTTTACTCAGTTATTTACCCACATAGAAAATATTATACCTTTTAGTTATAATTGAAATTATATAGATCTTTCTTCTGCTAAACAGATGTTTATGTATACACACACACATATCCTTAAATCTTTATAATACTAATACCCTATATTATTATATTGTGGAATTTGTCAATCAATTCAAATGGTGACCCTAAACAGGAGTCACTAGGCTTTGCCTGTGGAATGTGAGACAGTATTTTAGCTTCTGTAGATTTTAACAGCTCCTCAACTCTGCTATTGTAGTGTAAAAGCAGCCATTTTCATGTGTCAGTGGATGGAAATGCTGTATTCTAGTAAAAATTTACAAAAACAGGTAGTAGGCATGATTTGATCCACAGATTTACTAACTCTTCATCTAAATGGTTAGAAATAATGGCCCGTTTACTTTCCCGTTGTCATGTTAGTGTGTTTTATGTAACTAGTAAAATACTTGTTGATGTATGCTTTATTTAAAAATATTTCAAAAGGCTAACATAAGTCACAGTTAGGGAAGTTAAGAAGTGTGGCATCCACTTGTCTGTGGTAAGGGCTTTTTAGCTATGCTAAAGTGTGGTAGATGGTAGGGTAAGTGTCCCATGGGAAGACAGGGAGCCAAAGGAACTTGAACTTAGAAGGGCCCTGTGAAAATACCAGAGGGATATAACCTCTGGTGGCACTAAATCATTGTACCCAAAGAGCCCAGGAGCCCATTTTTCAGTAATTGAGAACTTTGGAGGATTTGTACTAGTTTTCCTATAAGCTATAAGATTACCTCATCTATGAATAAAGACACTTTATCTGGATGTTTGTAACTTAATTTTATTAGTTTGTTTCACTGGCTATAACCTTCTCAATCGGATTGACTAGAAGTTCCAAGAAAGGATTTCCTTGCTTTATTCTCAGCCTTAGGAGCAATGCTTTTACTCACTTACTATTAAATGTAGTCCTAATTTTGGATTTTTACTGATTTGCTTTTAACAGTTTAAAGAAGTTTTCGTTATGTCCCTAGTTTGTTGAATGTTTTCATCCTGAGATGTCATCAAATATTTTTTGTGGTCTTAGAGCGTATCACATTTTGCCATTCTCTCAGTGTATTAGGAACATTGATTCACTTTTAAATACTAACAAGAACATTAATTGTGGGTTTTGTTATCTAATTCTAGCCACCACTTGGTCATAGCCTATCATCTGTCTTGTATGTTGCTTGTTTAATTAACTAATATTTTGTGATAGATTTTGTTTCTGTATCCTGAGGGATGTTAATCTATAGTTTTATCTTTAAAGGTGGTATGGAATAGAGTAAGAAATGAAATATTGACTAGAAAGGGGCATGTGAAGAGTTTCTAGGGAGAAGCTTTGTACATGACATCGATGTATGCATTTAAGCGCCTCTCAAAATTTTAATAAATATATGAAATACTTAAGTTTTACTTTATATAATAATATTATATTTAAATTATATGCTAAAAGGCAAAGTAGAAGAGAAATTTTCTAATAGTCTTGTTTTTCTAACATAGTTCTAACAAAAAAACAGAGAGAGTATGGGTTGTGATAAAATACTGTAGCTTTTCTTAATGATGCCGTTTCTGTTCTTTCCTGTTACATATTTTAGAGTTATTTTTGAACCTTCTTGTTTCCTTTTATTTCACATAACTCATATCTAGGTGAGATCCTAAGTCATTCCTAAACTGTAGGTTAGATAATAAATACTACAGTCATTCATTCATTCAGTCATGCTAACTAAACTTGCATTGAATGAAAGTATATCTAGGAATTTTCATTAATAATGTACATTTTCCTTAGGTTATCTCCTTTTATTTTTCAGATAGAAAGGTAAATCAACTAAATGTGAGAATATTTTTAATAAATTAATGCTTTAAAAGTGAATAAACTTTCATTGAGCATAAAATGTGATGTTATAAGAGTATGTAATGAGCACCAGAGGTTGAGGCTGAGATCACAGAGTAGACAGGTTACTGGAGAAGGAGATGAGAGTGTGTACTTTAAAGTGGGTTTTTCTTTAGCTTCCATTTCTTCATCAAAAGTTCTGTGTCTGAGGAGCCACATAGTAACCCTAAAAATAAGTCATAGTTCAGCAAATTATTTTTGAGTTTCTAAGGAGTCACAGCAAACCTATTTGTAAACATGTGGAAGCAGATCAAGCATGTCTTAAAAAATTGTTCCCCATCCTATAACTTAGTGGATGTGTACAAATAAGATACTGTCTTCTTCTAAACAGTTACTATTGAGAAAATAAATATCTTTGCTTAGTATTTTAATATCCAGCTAAATGTCCTATTGCATACTTAAGGTATTGTAGTTATAAAACTTACTATATATAAAAGTTGCATTATTTGAAGAGTGGAATAACTTTTCAGGAACGTTTCAAGCCAAAAGTCACTGGGAAGTTATTATCTGATCTGAGGTGAATCTTTTGGCAATGTGTGGAAAGACAGTGAGATTGAGGATCATCTTTGCAGCACTATTTAACAAATCAAATCTCTTCTTGAAAACAGATACCTCTTCCGGTTCAGAAGATGAAGGCTCAGTGCAGGGTGATTCCCAGGGAACCCCAACCTCTAGCCAGGGCAGCATAAACATGGAACATTGGATCAGCCAGGCCATTCATGGCTCTACTACATCAACCACCTCGTCCTCCTCCACTCAGAGTGGAGGCAGTGGGGCAGCACACCGGCTGGCGATGCACATAGCCTGGAGGGCTGGATGCCTTTGCCTTTTCTGGTATCTGATTTGCTCTTGTCATTATCTGAGTTAGCACTGAGTATTGGTTTGTTCTCTAGGAATGCTCTGGTTATAGAGTCTGATGGATTCTTGGGTTACTGCATTGGACTAAACATTTCTAAAACTCTTGCATTATGGTTATTCAACACCTCAGTCTCTTGTAGCAGGAATTCTTCTAGCTTTGTATTGGTGATAGAATGCATTCTTATTCGTTAGGAAAGCTTGTAGCCATATCAACTTACATGTTTGTGTTTTATGCTAAATATACTACTCAGTGAAGTTTTGTGGTGCTGGAATAGACAAGAGATTATAAAGTACAGTTGCTGTTACTTAGAGAGGGGTTCATTTGAGGAACTTGAAGGACTTAATGATTTCTGCCAAAGCATTCAGATTGTTTAGATACTTCATAGTATTCTGTATGTGGGCTGTAGAATGAGAAGGGCTGTGTAGATTAGAAAAAGTAGAAGGTGGGCTAGAAAGACGGCCCAGCAGTTAAGAGCACATACTGTTCTTGCAGAGGACCTGAGTTTTGTTCTGAGCACAAACATTGTACTGGTTCACAACTCCCTGTAACTTAAACTCCAGGGAATCTAGCAGCCTCTTTTGGCCTCCACAGGCAGCTATACTCATATTCATCCATCCCCCAGTTTCATATACATAATGAAAAATAAAAATTTTAAACCTGCAAGGTCAGAAGCATGATTGTGTGGCATCTGAAAATAGTTTAGGATAAGAAGTAAGCAATGATTAGAGGAAACATGGGCTAGATGAGTAACTGGTTGTATGAAATGTGTGGGTGATGTTACCATTCCTGCCCATGTGCTCGTTACTTACTGTGCTCCAGTCTAGTCCTCATTCTTAGATCTGAAGTAGGATATCTAGATCTCTGTTCTCATCCATTGTTTTCCTGTGGATTAAGATGCTCAAACAGTTCAATGACAAGAGGTTTTCACAAGGCAAATTGTTCAGATAAGATCCAGTATGGTCTCTCCATCATGTAGCCATCAAGTAGAGAAATAGGCAGGTACTTAGAGGCAGCTGCATATTATACTGTCATCTGTACATAGAGTATGAGTGAGATATAGATGCAGTCCTCTCAAGTCACACCTGCAATACTGTAGGAATACCTTTCCACATCAGGAAACAGGAAATGGAATGAATGAGCTAAACATGGCAAAGTCAGCTCAGATACCCAGAATGTGGATCTTTAACTAATTGATGGGCAGACAAAGTCATTTCAAACTGGCATTTTAAGCTTCACCCCATTTGAACTCAGTGAACAAAGTTAAAAGCATTGACCTTTTTATATCCAAATGAGTTTGTTTGGTTCATTTCCTGGAGAGCAGCATCTGCTTTGAGTTCTCCCATTAGCAAACACTGAGATCTTGAAGTCGCTTTTCAGTGAAGGGAACAAAATGGGAATCATAATTTCTTGTCCCTTTTCCTTTCACAACTGTTGCAAGTAAAAAGGAGAATATAGGAACATTCTGAACAAGTTTTTGAAGCAGTTACTTAAGTTTAACACATTTTGAAGACAGTTATTAGTCAGTGTTACCAGATAACTTAAATTTGAAACATCAGAAAATTAAACACTGTATATAAATGTCACCATTAAATATATTTAGACAACACAAGTCTTGCTTATTGGAGCTTAGAAAAGCTGCTGAGGCTGTCAGCTGTCCATGGTACCTGAGCAGACAGGCTACCCAACCAACTGCCACATGGGAGTAATTATATTGTCTGAATTTGTTCCTTTAAGAAGGTTCTCAGAATCTTACTAAGAGGACCAAATATTTCTGAACAAACTAATCGCTGCCTTTGGCTTTCCCTTTGTGAGTTTACACTTGGAATACTGGAGGAAATTATAGCATGCAGAATTAAATTTATCCAAACTATAAAAGGTTGCATTACTCATATACACCAAGGCTCTGTGTGGCCTAAATATAACTCCTGAGTGTGTGACATTTCAGTAATTTCTCATTTGGCACAAGGATAAGTTCCTAGAATATCTGGAACTTATCTGTAGGAATTGGCATTTTTTTTTTTTTTAAGCAAAGGCAAGACAATGAAACCTGATGAGAATTAGAATACTTCATTCCAGAGACAAAGGCAGCCCCCCCCCAAAAAAAAAGAAGAAGAAGAAAAATTCAAAGTTGGCAGTCCTTGACCTTTTGCTGAGATTACCAAAATCTTGGGAATAAGAAAATAGCATGGGTGTGTGCCTGCATATACATGCATGCTCGTTTGATAAAGCTCAAGGCAAAATCAACCCCAAAATCAAGTGTGATCCCTTTAGGCAAGTTGTTTCATGTGGAGCCTATAGAGACTTGTTTTGCACATTGATGACAAAAGCCAAGAGATAGCAATCGCACAGTCTCTCTCAAAATGGGCATTCTTCTGTTCCTTGGTTAAAGCAAAACCTCTAGTCCTTGTGTAATTTTTTTTCTACAAATTTCCTTGAGCACACACCTAAGACATCTCCCATGTATTTTGGTAAGCCAGGATGGCTTACTATAGGATGAAAAATCCTATACTGGGCTGTCATTTTTACTTTCTTCTGTGGTACTTGTTGTATATATTACAAGATATGCTTTTTAATCTCTAACTGAGGATCCTGACAGCCAAGCTTCAAACATGACAGTGCTAAGTTTTGAGACTGTGTAGACTGCTAGTACAGGAGTCAGACCTGATGTTCTGACTTGCTACATTACTGGCAGAATTTTGTGTGCCTTCTCCCTATTACTATAACCAGGGCAACCTGTTTTCTAGACATGAAACCTAGGGCCTTGTGCATACTAGCCAAGCTCTGTACTACTGAGGTGCATTCTAGCCCTAGAATTACTCTCGATCACTCATGGTAATTACTGGAAAGTATTTTAGTAAGTACCTTAAGGCTGGGCATTATAGCTCAGTGTTTGCTTCTTGTGACTTTGTTTCAATCCTAAATACCACAAAATAAAAGAAAGTTAAAAACTAAAGACCCTTAGTTAGAAATAAGGGGGTTAATGCTCTATAAAATTTTATCAAAATGATAATGAGAAATGTAACTTAGACTAGGCAGTATATTTAGTTGAATTATTTTAAACTCCAAGATTTATATTTGAAAAAAATGTTGAGTAAATTATAGGAGTTATTTAGATAACTAGGGAAACAATACTGTATTAATACAGTCATAGAGTAAGAACTAAGAACAAAGCAGAATAGATAGTATTATGTTATACATTCAAAAGCAGACTGCATTCAAAAGCATATATGTATATGTGAAATTAGACTTTCACATGAACTTGTTTTAGTTTTAAGCCTCTGTAATCTTTTGATAATGTCTTCATCTGACAACATTGCCACAGAGTATATTGAGAGTACATTTTTACTAACCCAATTTTTATAAAAACAATTCATTTTCCTAGAATGTTTTAGAATTCAGTTGACATGAATGCTTTGTTCAGTATATGCTGTTTGTATTACTGAATTCTCATAAAATTCTTGTATCCATCTCTGCTAAGAAGATAAGAGGTTGAGCTGGGAAGATATTTCAGTTGGTAAGTGCTTGCCATGCAACAAGCATCAGGACCTGAGTTTGAATCTCCAGCAACCATGTATTAAACTGGGTTTGGTTACCCTTGCCTGCAATTCCTGTCCCAGTGAGTCAGATATATATTCCTGGAGCTCACTGACCAGCTAGTATTGACAACTGGTGAGTTTCTGGTTCTACAAGAGACCCTGTATTAGTCAAGGTTCTCTAGAGGAACAGATCTTATAGAATGAATGTGAGTGTGTGTGTGTGTGTGTGTGTGTGTGTGTGTGTGTGTGTGTGTGTGTGTGTGTATGTGTACATATTAGATTTATTACAATTACTTACAGGTGTGGTTTGGCTAGCCCAACAATGACTGTCTAACAACTTGAAAGTCTAAGAATCCAGTAGTTGTTCAGTCCACAATGCTAGATGTCTCAGTTGGTGTTTACACATTGTAATCCTGAAGAAGTAGACCCTAAAGCTCATGAAGTAATCAACTTGCTAGTGAGATTGAGAGCAACCAGGCAAAGAACAAAAATTTCCTTCTTCCATTTCCTTTATATAGGCCTACCACCAGAACGTGTCGCCCAGATTAAAGGTGGATGTGCCCTCCTAAAAGATTTGGATTAAAGATGGTGGTTCTTTCCATTTGAAATGATAAAAGAAAAATACTTCATAGGTGTACCCTACCACTTGGTTTTTTGCAATTTCAGATGTAGCCAGTTCTATAACTAAGAATAGATATTACAGTCCCTGTCCCCCCCCAAATAAAGTTTTATCTATGGACAAAACACACCCAATAGATATTACAGTCCCTGTCCCCCCAAAATAAGGTTTTATCTATGGACAAAAGACACCCAATGTCAACTTCTGTTACCACATATGTGCACTTCCACATAAGTGTATACCAGTATATGTGAATGTTAACAAATAAAAACAAACAAAAATGAATTTATAAAAATCTTTATCTACCCCAGAGATAAATTATTTATTACATAATGAGCAAGAGCCTGGCAGTTGGATGTTTTGATTGTGGAATCTGTTTTATTAGGGAAATTTATTCAGAGTTTAAATAGCCACTATTACAAATTACCCTTGTTTATTTATCTCTATTCATCCTAAGTGTTTATGCTTTTTAAACATTTATTGCCTTAAAATAGCACATATATACTGAAATTGGTGATATTGCCCCAGCCTGGGTACTAAGGGCTAGGATCTCCCTAATGTCCCATCCCTCTCAACTAGGGTGGTATTGCAGCTAGAGTATTACAATTTTAGAGCAGATCAGCAAATTTTTCCTATAAATGGACAGATGATAAACATTTTAGGCTCTGTGCCCATATACTGCTACAGCTGTTGAACATGCTGCCTTTATCACAAAAAGAAGCTACAAACACAAAGGCACATCTGTATGTTAATATTTTTAAAGTCTGGTGCCAGGTAAACAGCTACTCATAGTTTGTTGATTCATATTTTAGAATTTTAAACAACTTTACTCCAAAAGCAAACTGAAAAATATG